TCGCGAGTGAGGGGTGCGGGGGGCGGGGGTGGTGGTCTGGTTAATCAATAAATGCTTGGAGTACTTGTGTTGGAGTATGGAATATTATATACAATGAGTTGTCTACATACAACTAAGAAGTTAGCATGACTGATAACGCTACAAAACCCAAACACAAATGAAGTGTTATACATAAACACACTTCATATGTTGTACTTGATGTTATGATATGGGTTTTGGTTTTTACAAGATTGCATTTCATATTCATTCAGCTCTTACCAAGCTGTGACCAAGATGATCCTCTCTCAGTTCAAGTCTGGCTTTCTGAAGGTCACCATCATTAATTAGAATTTTCCTGAGAAGAGATTAAGAAAATCTGTGATTGAGGACAATGTAGACAGCAAGCTTCTTTACACCATTGCACTGGTTCACCATAAAATAACAGTTTAGTGTTATATAAAAATACATTTTAAGAGCATATTATTGTTGTTATTATTGTTTTAGAGCTGTGTCATGTGTGTTTGGGCCCATAGGCTGTGTTGCATATTTTTGCCCCTATAGACTTCAATGGAAATGGATAAGAACTACTCTTCTCCTCTGGAAACGGCTTTCCATTGGCCAAAACAAAAATGCGTTAAGCTTGATACACACGTTTACACGTGTAAAAAAAGCTTCAAAAATCACCAGAAATATGCTCTGCTCATGTGTGAATGTTGGCTTCTAAGAATTATGAAGAATAGCACATTGATACATTCAATATTAGTTTATTATTCAGACGTTGTAAATACATTAATGTAACAACGTTTCAAATTTCCCATCTGCTGTATAAAAAAACAACACAAAATAACTCATTTTGCTACTAAACATAATAAGTATCATTTTTTATGCGTTGCTTCCATTAGACTACTTTTGAAATGGAGTAGTTCCTAGTTTGGCCTGCAGGTGTCACTATTGCAGCCTGCAAGTCTTCTTTCAAAATACCAACTCCGACCCGTATTCCCACTTGAATGTGAGCCAGTGTTCTTCAGGTGGGTTCAGGCTTGAGAGTTTTTGTTTAGGCCAATGGAAAGCTAGGTCACTAGGAGACATTTGTTGGCAGTCGGCTGGCCTTCATATAGCAACACACGATGCCTTATTTGCAAACCGACTGAAGCATCAATTCTAATGGTGTTTGCTGAGCTGGCGGATGAAGGGCTCAGGCACCGTGTGTTCACATCCATACAACATATAGATTTTACACATCTCAACACAGCAAGAGTGAGTGTGTGGTCAAGTACAATGTGAGTGTGTGGCCTGTGGGCAGTGTGATTGGCGTAGATCTAAAGCTGGCCACACACTATACAATCTGATGCAGTGGAAGGACCTGTGTGACTCAATACAAATTGAAAGGATACTTTAAGCTGGCCATAAGGGGGAAGAAGTTTTCGTGCAGCCTGCCAGCTATATCAGGAAGTCCCTGCTGAATACCCACACTGTGCTGGCATCTGATTGGCTGGAGGCCCTTTTCTGCTCAATATTTTCAGACTGGCTCCTTCCTTAAGGCTCAATTTAAAAATCGACTTTTGTGGAGTTGAGGGCCATCCACAGCCTTTGATTCTATTTCAGCCATTTTTCAGAAGTGTGCTCTATGTATGGTCAGCTTTTGGTTTGCCCTCATATGACATGGCTGTGGCAGATTGTATAGTGCATGGCCATCTTCAGATGACATGGTTGTAGCAAATTGTACAGAGTATGGGTGCTGCTGATGAATGGAGGCGGCTGAACAGATGCTGTAATTTAGATGAATGAGGGCCATTACCTGTCTTCATTGATGCCACACATGCGGACTCTCTCATTGCTCATCCAGCTATGTACGTTCCCATAGAGGGGGGTTGCGGAAAGCATGTCGCCCCCTTCCCAGCGCAGCCTTCCCTGGTCTTGTCAAGGTGTCCCCTGTGTGGAAAGATGAGAAGGTGAGAAATAGGACGGAGATCGGGCGATGCTCGCAGTACACACAGGCGGCTCATGAATAATACATGCGGGACTGGGGAGATCGGCTGCAGTCATTAACCCTGTGAGTGCCGCCGCAGCCATTTGTCACAGACAATGATTTCCCCGATCCCAGCTCACTCCAGGCAGCAATCACTCTCCGGCGTACAGCGCTTAATTGCCGTCATTATCAGACGTCTGCCGAGCCGGATTAACCCCTGATGAGCCCTCTCCTCACTCCCTCCCGGGGTGGCAGCGATCCCTATCTGGGGAGCGGATTGTGTACTCTCCGATCTCATCAAGGGCGTCCCAGCATTGCCGCCATTAACCCTGCACGTACCCGGGCCTTCCATCATCATTCGTACAGTGTGCGGGCAGACAATGAGGCTGGGAGATGGATGGCCCGGGGAGGAGATCTATCTGGAGCTGTCTGCCCTTGGAGCGGGACGGCGGCGCCATCAATCATACGAACAGCCGGCTGATCGGACGGCTCCGGAGTGCCAGGGAGGAGATCACAGCGCCGTCCGCACAGCCAGCACTACAATACATGATGGCAGAGCCAACAGTCTGCATATACAACAGTGATGGCTGTACTACCATTGTACGTGTAGAATAAAGATCGCTATCGTACATATATAGCATAGATCGTGTAGTACCATCGTACGTGTAGAATAAAGATCGCTATCCTACATCGTACATATATAACATAGATCGTGTAGTACCATCGTACGTGTAGAATAAAGATCGCTATCCTACATATATAACATAGATCGCTGTACTCGTACCTGTTATATTACGTATTATCCCATATATATCACCGGGCACATCGTACGTACAAGATACAACTCCAATACATCGTAACTGTACACTGAAGACACCTTATAAATAATATATATATATATATCGATCCCGGACACATCGAACAAGATAGAACTCAGGGACATCATACATATTTACAATGCATCGGCCGGGCACATCGTAGTGTAGAATACAGATCGCTATCCCACATATATAACATTGATCGCTGTACTCGTACCTGATATATTACCGTATCACCCCATATACATTCACCCGGTCACATCGTACCCATTACATTACCGTATCATCCCATATACATCCACCCGGACACATCGTACCCTTAACATTACCGTATCATCCCATATACATCCACCCGGTCACATCGTACCCATTACATTACCGTATCATCCCATATACATTCACCCGGACACATCGTACCCTTAACATTACCGTATCATCCCATATACATCCACCCGGTCACATCGTACCTATAACATTACCGTATCATCCCATATACATTCACCCGGTCACATCGTACCTATAACATTACCGTATCATCCCATATACATTCACCCGGTCACATCGTACCCATTACATTACCGTATCATCCCATATACATCCACCCGGGGACATCGTACCTATAACATTACCCTATCATCCCATATACATCCACCCGTGCACATCGTACCCATTACATTACCGTATCATCCCATATAAATTCACCCGGTCACATCGTACCCATTACATTACCGTATCATCCCATATACATCCACCCGGGGACATCGTACCTATAACATTACCTTATCATCCCATATACATCCACCCGGGCACATCGTATCCATGTTATCATAGCACACTGTACAGCTGGACATCATCATATGACCCATTCCACGGACACATCGTACCGTCTACATATCCGTGCTTGTGTCAAATATCACCGGGGACATCGGGACTCTATGACGACTTCTATGGACACCTCATACCTACACATGGTCTCCCCGGACACAG